CCCGTGCTTTGCAGACGCGGCCCTGGGCCCCCGGCGGCTTATGCGTGTGGGGCTGGCCCTGATCCTGGTGGGCCACGTGAACCTGCTGCTGGGAGCTGTGCTCCACGGCACGGTCCTGCGGCACGTGGCCAATCCCAGCGGTTCCGTCACACCGGAGTACACTACGGCCAATGTCATCTCCGTGGGCTCCGGGCTGCTGGTGAGTGCCGAGGGCGGGGCGGGCCGCGGGCGGGAGGCCTGGGAGAGCAGGCCTCAGCTCAGGGCTGGTGTCCTCCACAGAGCGTTACCCTGGGAATCGTCGCCCTCCTGGCATCCAGGAACCTTCTTCGGCAGCAGCTGGTGAGAGGGAACTTACGGAGTTTGTAAGGAGGGCTTCAAGCGGGGCAGTGGGGTTGAGGACGCTCCTTTTTAAAATGGGGAGGAGCCTCAGAAACTGAAGTGCCTCAAGTGGGGAAGTTTGCCATCTCCCGCTCCTCACCCTCACCTTTTGCCCATGTCAGCACTGGGCCTTGCTGACACTAGCGTTGGTGAATCTGCTCTTGTCTGCTGCGTGTTCCCTGGGCATTCTTCTTGCTGTGGCACTTACTGTGGCCAATGGTGGACGCCGTCTTCTCGGAGACTGCCATCCAGGGCTGTTGGATCCTTTGGTACCACTGGACCAGGGGTCTGGACAGGTTGACTGTCCCTTTGACCCCACAAGAATCTATGTGAGTGCATTTTCTTGCCCATCCTCTTGGTACCTTCAGGAGTAACTACACCTCCCCAACTCTCTCCTAGCCCTCATCCTTCATCCTTGCCTTTTTTAGGATACAGCCTTAGCTTTTTGGATCCCTTCTCTGGTCATGTCTGCAGTGGAGGCGGCTCTTTCTGGTTACTGTTGTGTGGCTGCACTCACCCTCCGAGGGATTGGGCCCTGCAGAAAGGAAGGGCTGCAGCTGCAGGTAATAAAGAGGAACAGTAAGAGTAATGGGCTTTCCAGCTGAGAAACTTGTAGAAAGGGCTGAAAAAGTTTAGATTGTCTGTTGAAAGGATGCTGAGTTATAAATCAGGGTACTAACTCCATCCTTTTCTGCAGCTAGAGGAGCTGCCAGAGCCTGAACTTCCTAAATGTACAAGGCAAGAAAATGAGCAGCTACTGGATCAAAATCCAGAAATCCAGGCCTCCAAGAAGAGCTGGGCTTAGGACAGGTAATAGGCCATCAGGGTGTGGCCTGGAAAAGAGAAAGAAAAAGGACTGTGTGGAGTGGTGGGTTTAGTGTGATACTCTTGAGCTCTCCCCTTTAACCTGGGCGCTCTCTATCCAGCAGGTACTGTTCCAGAGGCCCATTTCACAAAGTTTGCCACTAAGCAGGGGTCTTGACCCTTACAGCAATCAAACAGTTGTAATAAAAGAACTCTTTTTTTTTTTTTTAAAAAAAACCCAAACAACAAAACTATTGGATTATGATTTCTTTTGGGGAGAGGAAGACACTGGGTTGGTGTTGGGGGTGACCTCGATCAACGAATACAGTGGTCTCGGTTACTTATAAAACTTTAATGAGGGAGAGGACCTTAACGTTCTTCTGCTCTTTCAGTTACTGAAAGGAAAAGCTGGTGCTGGGTAGCCCTCCACACCACTGGCTGATGAATTTCAGCACATCCTGGCACACTGGGCTATGGGAGGTCTGGAAATGAATATGGGGGGAAAAAGGATAAGAAAAACACATTAGTGCTGCTGAGAAAAACATACTTGATGTGAAGAAAATGAGTTCTAACTCAGTCCCATGAAGAACAGGGTTTAGGGCTCATCCATCTTTGAGTTACTACTCTCTGTGCCCTCATCACCCAACTTTCTAACCTTAATGGCCATAAGGAACTTATTCCAGTTGTCCTTGTTAGCGGCCTTTCCTGGTCGCTTAAATTCAATTTTGTTTCTCAGAATGGGGTACCCTGTGAGAAAAGGGAAAAAGATGAACTACGATTTGATATGGTAAAAGCTATCTTATGCATTCTCTATTAAAAAGTAAAATTATGTTTACTGGCCCTATCATTTTTCCTTCCTGCCACTCACTATAGGATATGGGGTACTGGAAGGTTCTATACCTGTAATGAGACAGGGCAGGGCTCGAACTCCAGTGCTTGCTGCCACCAGGGATGCCTCATAGGCACCACGCTCATCCCGAGGTAGAACTTGCTCCAGCCTCTGGTCCATTGACACTGTGAGCACCCAATCACGAACCTCTTCTCTCTGAGCTTCCTGGGAAAGACAAATAGCAGCTTCACAGAGGGCAGGGCAAGTGATGCTGAGTGAGTAGCAGGCTTGCTAAGCCCTCATCTTGTACACTAGCGTTCAGCCATAAACCACCTCGATGGGTCAGGGTCACAGACAAAGCCTCTGCTCTCTACTTCTACTTTCACTAAGGAAACTGGACTGGACCTCACAGAGATGACAGCACAAACATAGTACTGACTTATGCCCATTACAAAGTGTTTGGAGGACCAACGTAAAGTCCTTCCTTTTCAGTGCATCCTTACCGGTACATGCTGCTTGGCTGGAAGTGGCACTTCAAAGGGAATATCTGTATCCTGAAAATCTGAGTGGTCAAGGGCATCCAGAGTCCCTTCTTCAATTGCCTATGGTAGAGCGGATAGCCATGAGAGGCATAGCATGAGATCCACAAAATATCACAATCTCTGGAATATACCTTCCTACTCACATCAGTCAGATCCAAAAATCGATTGAGGAAGATGAATGCCATGTTCTCCCAGCCCACTGCCTGTGGTAGAGAAAAATTGCATTCAGGAGTGAGCAGGAGGCTTGGATGCTCCTGCTCCAGGATGTTGGGCAAAGAAAATGGGAAAGTTGGAGAACTCTATCTTCAATATTCTACACCTTCCCACTTCCCGTTTATCTCCTCCACCCCACCCTTCCTTGTCTGGGCTCACCTTGGCAGCAATGCCAGCTTCATAGAAGGCTTTGTCTGCAGGTAGAAGCTGGGTATGACGTAAAAGCGAAACAGAAAGCTTGGCAGCCACGGTTTCCTACAGATTAATGTTAAAACATTATGATGCCTGCATTATAGTAACTGAGTTAACAAGACCAACTAGCTGTTTTTTAGGGTCTTAAAAACTTAAGGTGAGAGGCCTGGTGGCAGTGATTAAAGAATGAAGCTGTTAACCAAAAGTAAGGTGCTTGAACCTTCCGGCTGCTCCACAAGAGAAGGGTGAGGCACTCTGCTTCCGTAAGCTTCTAACCTTCAGAACTCTATGAGCAGTTTTACTTTGTCCTACAGGGTTACTAAGAGTATCAACTTGACAGGAGTGTCCTTGTTAGTTGATTTATCTGGGTAACTAAGGGAGCCAAAGAACGAAAAAGAAAAAAAAAATGCCCCATTGGATCTCACATGTTTCTGGGTCTTTGCTTTTTCATATGAACAAAAGAACTGGGCTAATCTCTAAGGTTCCTTCTAAGGACAAGACACAGTACACTAGCATGAATAAACAATGACCCCTGGTGGCACAACAGTTTAGTGCTCATCTGTTAAATAAAAGTTTGAATCCATCAGCCGCCCTGAGGGAGAAAGATGTGGCAATCGGCTTCTATAAAGATTTACAGTGTCACCTATAAGTAACCTAAGGTTGGAAGACACTCCTTAGAACAGCTAGTCCTAGCCATACAAGAGCAAAACAGTATTTGCTCAAGGACAAAAGTTAGAAAGCAGGGAGGGACAGGAAAAGGACTAAAGGAAATGAGAAGCAGAAGCAGGGAAAGTTGTGTGGGGATTGTAAGCAATGCTACAAAACAGTGTGAACTGAATGAAAAACCAGTTTGCTTTCTAAATTTTCACTCAAATCACAGAGTTAAAGTGAGGGAAGCCGAATATCAAAATTAATAATAGTAGACCAAATATTGGGAAATGAGGGAGGCTTAATACAAGCTGAAGGTCACCTTGTGACACTGGGGCATTCCTTAGGAGTCAACATTCTTCTTAGTTTTTATCAAATGAATCCCTCCCTCTTGAGATTAACATAAAGAGGAACTTGGCCTTATCTGTAAAAGATTTCACCATTATCCTTTGTTTTGTACTTCCTTGTGATTTTACTTTTTTACCTTATGATTCTAAATAAATACTCAGAGAAGCATGGCTTGAGGTCTTCAGTTGAGAACTGCTGACCCCTTGTTTTATGCTCTCTGCTCTATCTCATTCCTGGCTGTTTGTCTCTTTATTATAAAATTATTCTATTCTTTGGGACCCTCGGTCTGCAACATTCTGGCGCCCAACGTGGGGCCCCGAGCAGACAGGCCCCCTCTGAAGTTTCCTGACCCAATCTTAACACCTTGTTTATCAAATAAAGATCTACATTCATTAGTCCAATGATAGCCTTTTCCACATTTTCTACAGAGTCCTGAAGGCATAGATTTTTTCTTTATATCTTTACTCTCCCTTCTTTCTTTCCGACAGTCTCTTTTCAAATGTCCTAATTTTCCACAATTATAACATTTGGTTTGAAACAAATTTAAAGTTCCTTTTAAAGCAGCAGCTATTAGATTAGCTTGATAAGAGCTAGTTCCAATGTCCATACAAGCACGTATATATTCATCTAGGGAAGCATTCTGAGTCTTCAATGGTCTGATGGCCTTTTGACATTCTGAATTAGCATTCTCATAGGCTAAAGATTTTAACAAAAGTTCACGAACCTCGGGTTGAGATACTGCTCTATCAATTGCATCCTTTAATCGAGAGAGAAAATCAGTGTATTTTTCATTTTCAGATTGTGGTGTTCTGATAAAAGATTGATCTCCCTTTCCTGAAATTTCTACTTTATCACAGGCTTGCATATGGCAAAGCCTCACTTGTACAATCAATTTATCTATTTTATTAGAAAGCTCCAAAACTTGTTTACTTAATTTCTCATAAGGACTATCATTCTGAATTATATCACTCAATTCCTCCAGAGTTGGAGGTAGAGGAAATTCATCCCCCTCTGTACCAGATTCACAATCACTCTCTTCTGAAGAGGTTTTTTCTTCTAATTTTTCATACATCTCCTCTTCAGACGGTAATGATTTTAATGCTAACAAGATCAAATCACATAATGACCAAACTGAAACAGGTATCGCATCTCCCTCTTGCTGAGGTCTTTGTAAAGCTCGCATAACCTCTTGCCAAGATTTTGAGTTTAACTGCTTTCTATTTGCTGGTTTAAACCAACGACAGTGTTTCTGCACATACTGAAACAACTGCAAAAATGACTTTTCTCTTACTTTTACCCCTGAGCTCTTAAGTAATTCCTTAATTAATGTAATGTACTGAGTTTCAGAAGATGGGCTGTTCTCCATGATTCTTTTTTATCAATTCTACCTCTGAATTTTTAGTACGTTTTCAGAGGGTGGGGTATACTCCCCATGAAATATTTTTCTTCCCTTAAATTTGCCCTTTAAGGGGTGAGAGAATGCTCATGAAAATTTTTTCTAATTCTATCCTTAATTTCCAAGGAGTGAAGATTCTCTCATGACCCTGTTTTTAATTTTTCCGAAAGTTTCACTTACCCTGAGCGAATTCCCTTTCGGTCTCTTTATTATAAAATTATTCTATTCTTTGGGATCCTCGGTCTGCAATAGTTAAAGACTTAAAGCCTTAGGAGCACTGTTGAACAGACCTATGTCCTATTAGATTGTTGGGAGTCAGCAGCACACAACATCACTCATAACCCAAAGGGGGGGTGTGTGTGTATTAGGAGAGGTAAATAAAGAAGTAGTGAGATTTGAGTGTTTAAACCTAGGGTGGCTGGGGCAAAATACAGGAGGAAAACACAGCAGGGGTTAAAGACGAGCACAGGTTAGAAGAGAAGCTAAGGGAGGGGATGAGGCTCAAGAGCCCAGGCCTGAGAATCCAGAACTCAAGGCACTCAAATCCACATGAAGGTGCTTGCTTCCGTCTGAATGCTGCTCTACCCCGTCTCCATCTCACCAGCTGTTTGACACTCTGTGCTGCAGAGCGGGTGGCATAGTAGTGAGCAATCAGCAGCATTGTCTCAAACTCCTCATGGGCTGGAGTGTTTGCCTCACTGGACTTGACTAGGTTTTCACACTAGAGAAGGAAGAAAGCACAACCTGGATCAAAGGTGAGAAGAGCCCAGAGTTAAAGGTTAGCCCACAGCCACTTGGACAAAGGAAGGTCAAAGAGGGTAATGTGCATGAAA